CAGCAAATTCTGCTACTTGAGTATATGTTTTTTTCTGATTTAAGAAAGAAAAGAATGAAGAGAAGTCAGTGATTATACTAGAAATTTTCAATGTCTTTTAAACTGCATTTAAAATTTCAAGCTCAAACTTAATCACTTTCTATAGTTATCTAGTCTGAGTATGAAGAATTGACAGAACTTCTTTATTCATCTTAATCAGATACTGTTTTTCAAGAATTTTACTAGCTTTTTCAAGCTCTTATATTTCAAGAACTTGTTATTTCTCTATTTCTTCTTTCTTTCTTCTCTTCAGAATTTCAATCTTAGAAATAGTATCTGAGAAAACATCTTTTTTCACATTAACTAAGTGTATTTTTAAACTCATTTTTTCTCACTCAATGAAAAGTTGCTCAGACTGTTTCAATTAAGAGATTTATTAGTCTATTTTCAATTAAAAAGTTAATCAGACTATTTCAAAAGAAGAACAACTCTTGTGTATAAAATATCTGATTTTTTTCACACTAGTTCAGTAACTAGATTAGATTTTTGAAGAGAATCTAATAAATTAAAATTGATTTTCAAGATAAATCAATAAAATCTTTACAATCTTTTTCTTAAGATATAGTGAGAAAAAGTATGATATCAATTGATAATAAATCAGATAATATAACAGTTTTTAAGAAAAAAAATCACAAAAAATAAGTTAATTTTTTACAGAGAAATTAATTAAAACTATTTAATTTTATTCTAATAGAGAAATTGATTAAAACTATTTAATTTTATTCTAAATCTTTCAATTCTTCTCACATAACAAGTATGTAACTCAAATCAGTTAATAAAGAGTGTAAAAAAGAATTAAGTATTAATAAGAGCTCTTCAGTCACTGAAAAAGTAATTCTTACTTAAAAGAATTTGAAATTATAATAGAAAATAACTCTGTTTTTAATTCTTTGTAAGAATATTGTATAAAACTCAGAGAAAAATATCTTACTTTTTCAAGAGAAGTAAAAAACTAATTCTAAGATCTTTTTTTTATGTTAACTGCTGTAGAAGAATAAGATAGAAACTGCTAAGATATACACTACTATATACTGCCTCAGTGGCTGAATGGTTAATGCGGCCACCCGGTAGCACCTTGGCGTGGGAAACCAAGGCGTGTGGGTTCGAAACCCGCAGAGAATACATTAAACCCGGAACTCAAGCACCTCAGGTTTCTAATAAATACAGAGGTGTACAAATCGCTCCAATGAATTGCTCTATGTTCCTGGGCTGGGAAGTTATTATCACATGTATCTAATTGTCACTTCTTTGTATTTTCCTATATTCTTGTTATCTTGACATGATCTCAATACCTGTATTTCCTTCTGTATAATCAACACTTAACCTGTATTTAACATCACGCAAGGACTCATCATAAGCTCCGCTTGCATATGAGTATAATGAAAGAATAATAATAATAATGATACTACTATATACTCTCTATTAAGACTTTCTCTCTTCAGAGTCTTAATATTATAGAGAATATAAGTCTGTTTCTATATAATAATATAAATATTATCAGCAGAATGTAGAGGAACTGGTTATTTATATCTTAAAATAGAAGACTTTATTAATAATTATATTAATATAGAGTTAATTCTTAAATTTAATAGAAATGTAATATTGCTGTTCTCAATCTCTTATAAAATCTATTGAATATTGAGATATTAAAACTAGATTTAATATATCTCACTATGCAGAGATCAAAGACTCAGTCAGATCTTGAGATATACTCATTTTATAGTTATTGTATCTGCTGATTATGTATTAAATACTATTAACAAGGTATCTTTTTATATCTTTCTATCAGAAATAGACCAGGTTGAATAAGATAATACATAAGTGAGACTTGATATTGATGTTAATACATCAAAGACAGATACAGAGATTGCACTTTAGATATATCTATTAATTATATACTTAATAGTATCACTGAGGTATCTTTTTGTATCTTTCTGCCAGAGATGAGCCAGATTGAGAAAGGTGATATGTGAGTGAGACTTGGTGTTGATATTTTGAAACATCAAAGATAGACAGAGTTTTTACAGAGATTACTTCTCAGATATCTCTATAACTACAGATTGAGAATCTTTTCAAATCAAGAAGATTGATGCATATGACTAGGTCTCTTCATCTTACAATTTGTATGACAATTTGGCCTGGGGTTGTGGTGTGATAGGGGTGAATGGGGGATAATTCCTCACAGGAGTTTCAAACAATATCTGGTTCATGTTTGGCTGGATAGCTCCACCACCACATGGGGTATGCAGTCGGCGATGGGGTCAAAATGCTCGTATGATCGAGGGCTTTTCGATGGATCTATCGGCGGGTTCCTATTCGAAAAATCGAGCGAGTTCGTGGTGAAGCGGTTGTGGAAACTCTTGTTTATACATAGACATTTGAGTTCATTCAGTTCATGGCATCTGTATTGTTATTCTTTGACACAGGTGTATGAGTGACTGAGGTGTAACATCTTCTACTACTGTTCTGTATACTCTTAAGCTTGATAAGATGATTATTCAATGTCTGAAGTTGTATACAGAAGTCTTCATAAGTTAAGTCTTTATCTATACTTATAAAAGTCTGTAAGAGTTTAAAAGTTAGTATCTTCTTGAGTATGCTAATCTTCATTTGATTCTCTCAAGATTAATCATCTACTTCTAGAATCTTGGTATTGAAGTCAGAGATGAATATAGTAAGAGAAGTATTTCTCTGTTAAATACTCTATAATTAATCTAATACTTTCTACTATGTAGCAGTATCTCTGAACAGAACATTGAGATGTTTGATAATGTTATCAGATGTATATAATACTAGTTTGTATATCTTTATTTATGAATGAAACTTCTGTCTTATGTGATTCTTCAATTGATTATTAATATATTAATCTTGATTAGTTAATAAACTAATAACATCTTTATCTATACTTAGTTTCATAAGCATTTTCAATCTTCATAATGAGTAGAGAGTGAGGTCAGAAGTATTAAAATATATAAGAGTATCTAAGTATTTTTTCAGTACTCATGTTATGTTCATATTTAATTCTATCAGTGTTGAAATTATCTGTGCAGAGGTTTCTTATTGAGACAATTATTGAATTTCTTTGTATTAATGTTATTGAGTTGCATGTATATCAGCTATTTGTTATTATTATAATTTTAACATTGCTCAGAGTTATTGCAATACTGTGTTTATATTTATATTCAAGAGTTCTCTCATGTTATCAGTAGATATATCATTTATCAGATGTATAATATCTGTGAAATCAGAAGAAGTGTAATTGTATAAATATCTTACACATTTAAGATATCAGAACTCTTAAGTCTTTCACTGATATTCTCTTATAAGATCTTGTTACAGAGCTAGAGTGACTGATAAGTAAGCTTCTATTTAGAGACTTAATATTTACTTAATTAATTATTGATTTCTCTTGTTTCTTACATGTTATTATATGTTCAGATATCTTAATAAGTAATTATTTCTAATGAGAAGATAATAAATGTTTTTCAAGTGTAAGATATCTACACTAAATAAATCAGTATAATATATACATCTTATAATACAAAAAGTGGAAAATATTAGAGAAGAAAAAAAAAGAGAAAGTGCAGAAATCAGTGATCAGAGTGAATATTTATATATATATATAATAAACCTTCAGAGCAGAAGATTAGAAATTTCATGTATATAATAGAGCTTTGAGATGAAAGAATAGAAATTCTGTGAGTTTTTCAGCTGAGAATTGATAACTGAGAATTGAAGCTTTCAGCAGAATCTATGAAGTGTAATGAAATAGTCTATATAATTATTCAGACATAGCCCGTCACAATAATAAATTAAAAAAAGGCTTAAGAATGTAAAAAAAACTTAATAATAAAAAATGAAGAAAAAATGAACTGTCATATAATAACAATTATAATTAAATAAAAAAAATTAAAGAATTTAAAAATTATCTTCTTAATCAGAAAAGTAAATTCTCAATTTTTTAAAAAATAATTAAATTATGTTTTGAGAGCTCTGTCTGAATATTTATAAATTTATTATCAGAGAAATCTGATAATGTTATAATCTTTACTGATTTAATAGCTGCTTACTCACTGAATCTGCTTTTATTCAAGATTTCATATTTCACATGAGTTATTAAGTCAAATAAACATTTACAGAATTAACTATATATTTTTATATGTAATTTTCTATATATATTTTCATTATATAATATATCATCTTAAAATCTAATTGCATTGTTGAGATATCATTGAAAATATTTCATCATAGTGATGGCGAAATGGCGCGTGTTGGGTGTAAGCGGGTGTTGAGTGGTTTGGTCATTATATGTAATATACTCTATGCCCTGCATATGCAATGTCCACACAAAACTAACAGACCGGCATGCATGCGTCGTCAGCCAGTCAAACCCTAAATCGTCCAGATTGGGAGGAGATATCATAGAAATAAGCCTTGGAAACACCCCACGGAGGTTACATAATAAAATATAACGGTTGTCTAATGTAATTAAGTAGGTAGTTGAACGTATGAGCTCTCGAGAAGGCTAGTATGTGCACACGATATTACCTTTCTGCATATACCTGTTACTTGCTGTACTCATCTAGCACTCTATCAATTTATTGCTACAATATAATTTTCCCCCGGTATACCCCTGTGTATATTTTTTTTATAAAAATGGCATGGAAGCTCCTAGATATGTAACCCTGTAACTCACACAGCAACGGTCTCCTCTACATAGCTATCCCGGCGGGAAAGAAGAATCTCATAAATTTAGTACGACATGTACTGCGCAATAGACTACAATGGCCTTTTGACAAAGCTCCAGCCACTAAGAGCGGTAAGTAAGGGTAGGGGGTACCTACATTCCCATGGATACATCTCTAGGTTCGAGCAATTAGGTAGATACAAGGAGCAAGCTATGTTATGCTGTGCATGACTTATAAGTATTTTGGATGCCCGAATGTGCTCCTGGAGTTAGTCGATCTGATAATATGCGGAGGTTACATGATTCAGGCTTCTCGGGGGTTGGATTATGGTAGAGAAGAAGAAGTATCACGATCACCCGTTGGACAGCATTAGAGGTTTTTGTTCAGATTTCATCAATAGTGGAGGAAATCGGTTTTGAGGGAATGGTCCATCTGTTAAACCAGTCCTTCGACAGAAACAAGTTTGTTTCACCGACTGGTCGTCCGTGTACCCTATGTAGGTCTTTCTCATGTCTCTATAGATCCACCCGAGACGCGGTTATTAAAAACATGCAGATAGAGATACACGTATGCCTCAGTAGAAAAATCCCATCCCTGGTTCGTGCCCGCTTTCCAGCAGCTTTCCTGACCACCTACCTGCCTAATTCTACCCCATCCATCCCCAACGGTCAAAAAAGGGTGGATGATGAGATGAGATGTGGTCCGTGCTCTGCATAATAATACTACAAAGTACAGCAGTGCAGCTAGGAAGGGTACTCCGTACGAATGAAAAGAATAGCGGAAGCGGTGGAGTGGATCTGGGGCTCCCTTCTAATGGGGTTTGTGTGTGCATTCATATATATATATATATATGCGAGTTATGCGGGGACACCATTTTCTGATATTAAGACGGAGTTTATGATATGGTATATTAAAATAAGAAGGGAACTGTATAGCACAACGCATTGTAGGGTTGGTACTGAGGGATATAATATGATTGTTTGGCCGCATGAGGTAGGGGCTGCCCGCGGCTGGATCTTCAGGTATGTTTTGCATATTATATTAGGAGGTGGGCATGCATGTCCATATGCATTGTCCTCTAGGTAAAGGGCATAGATAAACATACTCATGGGCCCTCTTCGGCAGGCGGGAGAGAAAAAGCTATTGTTTCTTGAGTTGTCAGTGGCTAAATTATCCATGTCTGCATGATTTCCTTCCTCTTCCAAGTAATCTTTGGGATGATTGGTTCTGGTATATGTATCTCAGGTCGTTATTGTGAAACGCCTCGACATAGCCTAATTTTTCTTCCCTTCGTGACAATAGGAAATATAGAAGAAAATAAAATGGATGGAAATAAGATGATTGTACCGCGAATGACTAATTTACAGCCCTGTCTTTGGCAATTGTTTAGATGGTAGCGCTTGGAAAGTATGAACACAAATGCGGGGACGAATCAAGGTATATTAGTCGTATACTACAGCCGTGCAGAAGATTTAAAAATGTATGGGACATTATCAAGGAAGTAAGGAGTTTGAAATCCTGTACGTCCGGATAGGAACATTGGTACTGTGAAAAAATCCATCCTGGGATTCTAGGGGCGGCGATTCAAAATTTACCCGACGACAGTCCAAACCGCTCGCTTCTGGACAAGAACGGACTGTTAGCACACTAGCAACGTTACACCAAGACAGATGCAATAATGATTAAAGTGTAGGGAAAGGAAAAGGGAAATCCTTCGCGCACCGCATCGTTTAAGAAAAGTTTCAAAGGTCGCCGGATTTCGAAGTGTGGCAGACAAAATAAATTCCTTAATTTTGTGCTTGTCGAATAATTCTCGTAACGTTGATGATAAAAGAGGTACAAGGTCCCGGTCATATATCTGCACATTTATATAAGTCACAGCGTGAATGCGTCGCAAGCTTCATCAGCCACCAGCGACGATGTTTGAAAATTGACTTGGGAATGTTGTATGCATACCAGATCGGCTCCAAGTGCAACATCAAATGATTGGTGCGGTTCTCCAGATGAGGAGATCCGGTTAGGTTGAAATGGGGTTCCCCATTCCCATATATCAGCACTGATTCTATTGCATGAAGGGTCGTTCTGCATTGCACAGTCCTTGATAGTAGATATTAATGCAGGGTCTCTGTCCGTAGCCGTCACGCTCCGGGCACCAAGACATTTTAGGCAATACATGGAAAGAAATCCCGTGCCACTTCCGAGCTCAACGACATTCTTCCCCTCAATTAGTGACCTGCCTTCCGGGGTTGTAAGGTAGGTACCAAGGTGTAAAGCCGCCTCCCATGTGCGGAATCCGGTGGTTCCCGAGGCAAGTATAAGGTTACGGTTTTCTGACGTTATCACGAATTGGCCTTTATGATTTCCCTGTGAAGCGTGACCTCTGGGGGCTGTATAACGGATGTATGACAATGTCCGGGCTTCCTCGAAGGGGGCCAGTCGTGGGCAACCGATGAGATCGCTATAGCTCCTCATGAGATCATCCGAGACCTCCTGGAAAAATGAGATATCGTTAGGGGAAATGAAAATAGTTTAATGCGAGAAATGCGGCGAATCATGTTGGTAGTTCCATGATTCGTGCCAGCGAAGACCAGAGTGAAAGGAGTCATACATCCTCGTCAGGGTTAGAAATTGACTCTTCCAATTTAGATATGAGAATTTTGAGAACCCGGATACGATAGCTTGGTGGAGGGATAGGCCAAACGTGTGCTTCATCGAACATTCTCTGGTAGATCAGCTGCTGAACCACTGGTCTTTTGAGGACATTATCTGCTGGTATAGAGAGGCGTTGCGGTTCAAGAAGTTGAAGGTACTGAGCCACAAGTAAATCCACTTGGTCTTCATTGTCAATGGGTGGCTCTACAATCATTATTATCTGCGTTTCTCGTAGTATTGGTGAGGTCTACGGGTTTCAATCAAGACGATATCTGTTGTTGGGTCGGGTTAATAAAACTTTGATGAGGCTTAAGCGCGGGAGATGTAACTACCGTATTAGGACTAGTGTAATGTCCGCGAGCTGGCCCTAGCCGAGAACCCACATCCAGCAAAATCAAAAAAATACATTGAAACATCGTGATTCTTTTCGACGACAGCGACATCCGACAAACCCCAGCCGCCAACCATACTCCTCCCCCTTCGTCGAAGCAGACTTTTCGAACTGCCAGTGGTTTCTTCTCGAAAATTCTGCAATCATGGCTGACGCTCCGGTGACCCTGCGGACACGCAAGTTCATCCGCAACCCTCTTCTGGCTAGAAAGCAGATGGTTGTGTAAGTTGATCTTTTCATTTGCGCGGGAATGTGGAATAGAGTCTTTGGAAGTCTTGCGATCAGAATGTTACAGATGGATATGGATATATGGCTTCTGGTGTCTGGTTGTTGTGATGATACAGTGGTTTCCTAACCGGTTTTTTGTGGCATCTTGCACACGACAGTGACATCCTCCACCCCAACCGCGCCAACATCTCCAAGGACGAGCTCCGTGGGAAACTCTCAGAACTTTACAAGTCCAACAAGGAGCAAGTCTCCGTATTCGGCCTTCGCACGCACTATGGTGGTGGTAAGACCACCGGCTTCGCCCTCATCTACGACTCAACCGAAGCCCTGAAGAAATTCGAGCCCCGTTATCGTCTCGTCCGTATTGGAGCTGCTGAGAAGATTGAGAAGGCCAGCAGACAGCAACGTACGTTTTGTCATATCCCCATTCTTCGTCCTTCCGTCCATGGGTAATATACGTTGGTTTTTTTCAGCTGACATTCGGATCTACAAAAAATACAGGCAAACAAAGAAAGAACCGATCGAAGAAGTTCCGGGGCACAGCAAAGACCAAGGGACCAAAGAAGGAAAAGAAGGGCAAATAAAAGAGGGGATCCGGGTTTCTTTGCTTTATTTGGTTTTTCATGGTGCTGGGTGGAGACTTCACGACATGGATTTTTTGATTCGCCTAAGGGTCCCAAAATGCGCTGGATGAAATGTTTTCTTTATCTATCTACATCGATGATGTATTTTAGCTGAAATCAGCCATGTGGAGAAATTACACCTTTTTCGTTTATTATTTTGTTGTGCCAGCAGGGACTCGCGCGCTCCTTGTTTTAGGTGATTCTGTCATCTGCTTCTGCATATACGGTTTATCTTACCCCACAGCAAAATCGTGAAACCTCGGCACTGACAACCATTCTTATCATATGTTACTCTTATCACAAGGGGGTTGGTGATAGTGACGGGAAAATCTCCGAATCAGCAGCTGGGGATCCAGGACAAAAAGTTCAACTAATTGACCACAACACACTCTACCCACCAAGTACAGTACTCATCCGCACCTATACTTTTCCTTACATACCCCTTGATACCCAAAATCGGTACCAACGCCGGTGTAACAAGGGATGGGGGAAATAAACAGACGAGATGGGACAAAGGGGAGACATAATACAGGTAGGGACGGTTTAAAACACACAATCTTAATCCGCTTGCCAAGAAGAGAAACGAGAAGACACCACCGCTTCCATAAAAACAAGCTGTCTATCTATCCTATAACACGATGCTGTGCATGTAATGCACAATAGAAAACAATTAACAAAAATATTAAAAGAAATAAACCCCAACCGTTGTCTTTAACATAAGAGAGACATATCTTGGCAATTCTAGACAAAATAGGAGATCCGTGTAGGAATCATAACAAAAAACACTTCCAACCCCCTACCAATTCCAGTATAATCTGATATTCGGCGCAGACGTACGCAGGCGTTTAACCTGATCCCAAGGAGACTCGTTCATTGTCGTTGACAGATGAAATCAACGCCGGTAGCAATAATAAACCCAAATATTAAAAATAACAGAAAGAAAGAAAGAAAGAAACAATGAATACGTGAATTTCGTTAGCCCTCAAAGTTATCCGTTTTGTGAGCTGGGAGATTAGACGTCGGGTTCACTGGGATGTCTGAGCACCTAGATGCCGACGGCTCGAAGGGTGGAAGACGGATGTACTCCTGTCCATTTGACAAAGTGCTTGATGAGCTGTGTGCGGGCAGCACCGTGCTATGGCCGTAGGCCTGCGCTCCGTAGCTGGATTGCTGTCGAAAGTCACTGCCCCGGCGGGATCGTCCATTCAGAGCATTCTCCGCAGAGGAGTGGAACCCTTCAACCGGCTCTACTCCTGAGAATGTTGTTGTTGGGCGCATTGTTGCTACCGCGGAGTTGCTGGACATGACATACCCGAATCCCATATCAGTGTGCCCGATCAGGGGCTTGCTGGTACTTGGCGAATCTGCACCATTGGCTATGGTAGTCGGCGTTGTCTTCATCGTGCTCTGCTGGTTGCTGGACGACAATCCATCCGGAGCCAAGTGCCCTGAGGATCTGGCATTTAATCCTGGGCCAGTTCCGCAGGAGGAAGGAAGCGAAGGCTCTGCCGAATGGGCTCCCACCGTGCTTCCGTTGTCACGGCCATTACGACTCGATGCGGGGTTTGGTAATATCCTGTCAGGCACCGACGACGATGATGAGATTGCGCTGAGAAGTGGGAGGGCGGAAGGAAGGTCGGATGATACGGAGACTGGATGCTGGGTATGTGTCATGTAGCTGTAATTAGATCCAAGGGCAGGATGGCCATCTTGCTCATGGTATATATCTTCATTCCGGATCTTTCCCACTTGAGAAGCCCGAGGGCTTCCTATGTACGAAGAATAGCTGGAACCTCCCGTGGAATCCGTGCTAGGGAGCATATATTGCGGAGATGGGATACTATACGATTGGGAATCACCCTCGTAGTTGATTTGGAATGCGGGTACAAAGGGGCTCCTGGAAACCGGGGCAAACTGAGTTCCTTGATCATAAGTACATTGAGGCTTTGAATACGGCGGGAAAGTTGGAGTCACCGAGTGAATCGAGACAGAGCTTGTTCTGCTGCTAGCCTGTGTCTCATACCCACCGCCGTTGACATAGGAGCCACTCGTTGGACCCGCTCCGGGATATGGCCAGGAGCAGCCATAGTATGGTTTGGCATGGGTGTTGAATGAACTGACCTATGGACCGTTAGCAACAATTCTGATCATTCCATGTATATTACAACACGGAGAAACCAACTTACCCGCAAAAACTGGCAACTTTGTGTTCCTGCGTTCCGACAGTTAGTACACTGGCCGTTGCCAATGTCCCCGCTACATTTGATCTTTCTTCGTCGACATCGGCCGCACTTGTATAGAAAAAAGGGTAAGTAAGAGGCAAAAAAACAAGAAGGAGAGGATTTTTAGCCTCATAGATGAACATACAGCAACCGGGATACGTCGGCGAGTAGTTGTACCGCCGCCGTTAACCCCTGGTTCTGTTGTCGAGCATATTCGATTACTATAACCGCCCCCGAGCTCATGTTGAACATCACCTCGCAGTGAGTGAGAAACTGGGTAGCTCATTCCGCGGGTAGATTGCCGACAGAATTGCAAGTCCTCCTGAGTTTCGAAGTAAGCTGGAGACATGATCTATCTGTCCGCTTTTGTTTCAAGCAAGCAAGCGAAGATCAGAAGATATGGCCGTTTCTATATGTCCCGAGCTCACCATGCGTGTAACAACAACAGAGCTTCAGGCCAGGCGAGCAACGCAGCAGCTTTTGAAGAGGTGGAATAATATTGGTTATCCTTAATATATCTCAGCCATAGCGGGGAAAATGAAGCAAGTTGGGTAACTTATCAGGGAATGGTGTAGGTTTTAAAGATGCTGTGTAGATATAGCTGACGAACAAATTATTTCTCTTGTTTGAGTTTACTTTCTGCAGAACATGCAGGACATTGGAGGCGATAGCCAGACAGCAGTGTTGTCTGAATTACTCATTATACCCAAGGTATGCTTAGCAAGTTAGTTTGACGGTACTGACTTGTCTAATAAGTTCCACGGTGTTCCCATGTATCAAGCCGTGTTGTACCTCTTCTGAACCTAAGGCTCTTAGCGATGGAAGTCGTGCAGCTTATTTAATAACAGGGTTGTGAGGTTTGAGTGTCCAGTGCTACGGAAAAAGTGTCCTACCCTGCATTGCACACGCTGGACGCCATCCTCATGGTGGGTAGTGAAGTGATACCGTAAACTGCGGTGCCCATTAGGCCAGCGGGGGCAGAAGAAAAGGGGGGAGAAAAGGATCGAAAGGCAAAACTCCATCCAAAACTAGACGAAGCAAAAAAAAGTATTGGGAGAACATAAAGTAAATTTTACTTATCATACGGAATTGCTGACTTCGTAAACAGAAGACAAGACAGACAAAGAAGAAAGAGCCTAGAAAAAATGTAAAATAGGTCTAAGCAGACGAAATGGGCTGCAGAATGGCACTTTTGATTCGAGCAAGGAGCCAAAAAGAAAAAAAGCGTTTGCCAGGATGAAAAATGCAAGATGCAATTAAGTTGTTTGCTCCCACCTAGCTGCAGAAGCAAACATCCACACATCTGCCACTGCCACTGCCAGTATCATTCTCAAAAACGCCATTTCCCACTTGAAGAGTCGTCCTGATCCTCAGCAAGCCCAATTAGGGTATATGAACGGTAATATGTACCAAAAAGAGGAAATGGGACCTTAACCACGACTGAAAACTGCTCCTAGGAACTTGGCCTGAGATATGAGCAGCAAAAAAGCTTGTTCAACAGTCAGCTTGTAATTCGTAGAGCCGCATTCAACACCAGGGGCATAATCTAAACGCTGCAATGGCTTGCAATACTATATTCCAGGAGGCCGGCAGTCAGGAAAAGCAAAAATGTAAGGTTCTAGATTGTCCATTGTCTTTCTTCAGGCCGGCCGGTTTGGTTTGGTTGAAAATATGTATCGTGTGTTCTATCATGATTGGAGGAAGCTTTCAGTGAAGGGAAACGCACAGAAAAGGCTTTTGTGAAGAATAAAACAATCATGCAAGATGAATGCATATATGTTTCAGTAGAATTGTAGGGCAGTTAGGACAAATAATCGCGGAGTTCTGAACGTCATTGCTCTGTCTAGCAGGCTTAATTTGGGTTTTGTTAGCGCTGGGTCAGAAATGGCGCTCATCCTATATTCCTCAGAAACACTGCTTCGAAAGCGTTTGCGTCGACATGGAGAAGGAGAAATTTCCATAGATTAGCTAACACAGATGATAGAAGTATTGGAAGAGGCGGACCGAGTTCTGCGGGTACCCGGTAGTCAGATCCTCCCTCACCCTTGGAAAGAACTTATTGCAAGCCTCGGCTTCATGCATGGAGAAGTAGGAATTGAATGTCGAATACCCTTCAAAGAGGATTGTTGTCATTACGCAAGATGGATTGCCCGACCCGCCTTCCACGTGTACGCGACAGTCTTAAAACAGTCATACCAGATCCAAAAAGTTTGATCTAGACTGGGAAAATCTTATGTGAGTGAACCCTTTAACGGCCCGTGAAACGGTTGGGAAAAGTAGATTTTGACGCACACCAGCAGTAGCGCGGAGGCAGGGCCTGTTACCAGGACACCAATGGCACTTTATTCATATCAGCCTTTATTTATTTATTGTTTCCCCCCTAAAATCAGTTTGATTTGCTGCTGATCTTCCGTCAATTAGTTAAGGGGTACATTTGACATCTCGCACGGCGGGCGTCGGCAAATGCGGATCTTGGAAAAAATAGTATTAGCATTGGCTTCGGGGAGATATCCCACTCGAGAGCAGAAAGAGAAACAGCTCCCACAGTATAGACAGATACGACAGTGTAAAAATAACCTGACTAAGTATGAATGAATGGGATGAGCTTCCCGACATGCGCACAAGCTTGTTCAGAGGAAGAAGAAGCCTCATCCGGTAAACCCTTCCAGCAAGGATGGAAGAAAATGTTCTTGTTGGAAGGGTTAACAGAGAGTTAAGCAGATGATAGATAACGTTTGCAAACACAAATGATCATAGAACATCACATAACATCATATTGTCCCGCCATATATCATATTTTGCACAGAGACTATAAAATAGCGTGAACAGAGAGGTTGAGGATTACGTTGTGAGAGGCGTTCGGCCGCGGCAGAAACGTCATGAGCTGCAGCCCCAGCAACCCCAAAGCGGCCACACAAACGCCAGCCCGCAACCAGCCCGCAAACCCGTCGATCCCACCGTCACGCGCCGAGATATCTCCAGACCCAACTCCAACCCCAAGCCTCACTTCCTCACGTCCGTCCTCCTCAGGACCTCGCACGGCAACATCGCGAACCCCCCGCGAACCCCACGAACCCCGCGAATAGCCACACCTTGAAGCAAGCTGTTGCACCGCGAGCTATCTATAACTAATTATTATAATTATATGACTGATGCTCTTCCCATGCCCCATTTGAAAACTGATGCCTCCCCCCCGCGACCTAAGTTCTCACTTGCCTCACTTTTAATTGCCCCCGTTTGGTCAATATCTTTGCGACCATGAGCGTTATCTTGGAGACTTCTTTGGGTGATATTGTTATAGATCTTTTGGTCGACACCTCCCCCAAAGCTTGCGAAAAGTAAGTCCACTCTGGGAAATCCGCTCCTGTACCCTTCACTATTCTGTGCTCTTCAATGTCCTCCTTCCTCCCCGCACCCCGCATGTTGTACAAATATGAAGCGACTGAAGGTGGAAACTAAGACATCCAAACCGTTGCGGCCCAGTTTTTTGAAGCTATGCAAGGTGAAGTATTACAATTTCTCGCCCGTTTACAACGTCCAGAAGAATTTCTCCTTCCAGACCGGCGACCCAATAGGCCCTAATTCTAAAGATAGCGATGGCGGGTCTTCCATCTGGGGCATCCTCGACGGGCCTTCGCGAAGAACATTTCCGATCGAGTTGCCGCCCAAAATGAAGCATACAGAACGTGGCACAGTTAGCATGGCTACGGTCCCTTCTACGAAAGACCCTGACGAGCGCCTTGCTGGCAGTCAGTTCATCATAACACTTGGAGATAATTTGGACTATCTGGATGGGAAAGCGGTTATATTCGGGAAGGTAGTGGAGGGATTCGATGTCTTGGAGAAAATAAACGATGCGTTCATTGACGATAAGGGACGACCGCTTAAAGATATCCGAATTCGGCATACTGTGATCTTAGACGATCCGTTTGATGATCCCCCGGACCTTGTGGTACCCCCTGAAAGCCCGCTCCCTTCAAAAGCCCAACTGGCAACAGTAATGATTGCGGACGATGAAGAGTTGGACGAAAACATCGACGAAGAGGCGGTGGAAAAGCTACGGCGGGAGCGGGAGGCTCGGGCGCAGGCGTTGACCTTGGAAATGGTTGGGGATTTGCCGTTTGCTGAGGTCAAGCCACCAGAGAACGTTCTTTTCGTCTGCAAACTCAATCCTGTAACTCAAGGTGGTCACATTCTCTCCCCCTCATTTGTGATTGAGCGTACATACTAAGCTAACCGTAATAGACGAGGATCTTCACCTCATTTTTAGTCGCTTCGGACCAATTCTTTCCTGTGAAGTGATACGTGACAAGCGGACCGGTGATAGTCTGCAATACGCGTTTATCGAATTTGAGAACCAAAAGGACTGTGAACAGGCTTATTTTAAAATGCAAGGTGTTTTAATTGATGATCATAGAATCCATGTTGACTTCTCTCAAAGCGTGAGTTCCCTCTAGCTATGAGCCCCACAACCTACCGTACGCGACAGCCAGTTAATTTCCATTTAGGTTTCGAAACTGTCGGACAGCTGGCGGAATGCAACAAATTCCAAACGAGCTAGCCAACGGGGTGGGTTTGGGGGGATATCCAGCCTAGAGAAGAGGCGGCAATACAGAGCTTCGGAGGCTCCTCGACGAGATGGATACGGGATGATATTTCATAAAGATGATATGCGTAGGAAAGGAGATACTGAATCCTACAGGCGTTCACGGAGTCGAAGCCCATCCAGGCGACATAGGCATAGGAGCAGGTCTCCTCCGCGCCGCCGCTCTGGCGATGACAACGACGCGCTATACAGACGGAGTAAAGACTCATCGAGACACACGTATGAAAGTGGGAGGCATAGGCGGTGACAAAAATATGTACCCTTTAGATTTAATCCCCTATGTACGGAGTATAATAATAATATCTTCCCCTTAAATCGCAATTTTTGTTGGTCTCCATGAAGGAGTTCAGCCTCAGGAGTCAGGTTCATCATCCCCTGGATTGGTAGCCATTTTTGCGCCACCTGTGGTTGAACCGGCCGCCTGCCAAGCCGCCTGGGTCGCCTCCGAGGCTGCGACTGGCTGCGGCTCCTAGCAAAAGCCTCCATGTCTTAAAAGCGCGCTGCTCAGCCTCCAGCGCTATCGAATACAAAACAATTAATAATTTTCAATTTTGTTTCTCCCTCCGACGGATTGCCCTGACCCACTGACAAGGGACCCGATGCTTGTAGAATTTCCTTGTGCCCACTGACATCACACGCTATAAATACATACATTATTGTTTGGCGGGGTTTCAGCTAAGGCGTCCCGTTTGCTGTATCGAACGCCCGCTGGGCTTTATTTAAAATTCAACTTCATTCCCTCTTTTTCCCCGATTAAATCAAACAATTAACTAACCAGCACTCGAAACCGTTATACCTTTTTCTCCGTATTTCCTATTTCCTTTTAGTATTTGCTGCAGCAATGTCCACACTTGTGTTAAATATTAAGGACCACCTCCACATTGGTGCCAAGGAGGGTGCAGTTCTACCCCGCGAACCGTCACAAGACGAGATCGATTCTCTGAAACAAAAATATGACAAAGCCGGACAGGGACAAGTGTTTGCCTTCTTCGATGAGCTGAAATCGACAGAGAAGGCCCAACTTTTCGAGCAGCTCTCCAACTTCAACCCAAACCGCATTAACGAGCTTGCCAACAAGGCGCTCAACCCCGCCGCGACCTCACAAGATGGCAAAGAAACCACTCTCGAACCTCTGCCGGAATCAGCGACAGCGTCCATGATCGATTCAGATACCGAGTCTCTACAACGATTCTACGCATCTGGCTTGCAATTGATTGCTGCCAACAAGGTGGCAGTTGTGCTCATGGCTGGCGGCCAGGGAACTCGGCTGGGTAGCGCTGCTCCAAAGGGCTGCTTTGATATTGGGCTTCCAAGTAAAAAGTCACTTTTCCAGATACAAGCGGAGAGAATTGTGAAGCTGCAGAAGTTGGCTCGGGACTCATCGGGCAATAAACACGTGGTTATCCCCTGGTACGTGATGACCAGCGGGCCAACCCGACAACCAACCCAGTCATTTTTTGAGGAACATAATTTCTTTGGCCTGGAGAAGAAGAATGTTATAATCTTTGAGCAAGGCGTGCTACCCTGCATATCTAACGAGGGGAAAATATTAATGGAAAGCAAGTCAAAGGTATGCGCGCTTTTCTATGCTACTAGACGTCTATCCATGCTCCCCTTCATCTACTTTCTCGTCTTCTTATTGTTGTTGTTCTTCTAACTTACATACAATATCGAGCAATAGGTCGCGGTAGCACCTGATGGTAATGGCGGCATATACCAAGCGCTATTAACATGGGGCGTCCGAGCAGATATGAAAGATAGAGGCATCGAGCATATCCACGCGTACTGCGTCGACAATTGCCTCGTGAAGGTTGCCGATCCTGTATTCCTCGGCTTTGCGGCATCAAAGGGCGTTGACATCGCTACCAAAGTCGTTCGCAAGCGGAACGCCACCGAGTCCGTCGGCCTGATCCTTCTGAGGAACGGAAAACCAGATGTTGTGGAATACTCAGAAATAGACAAGGAGACTGCGGAAGCCAGGGATCCCAAACACCCTGACGTCCTCAAATTCCGCGCAGCGAATATCGTGAACCATTACTACTCGTTCCACTTCCTCGAGTCTATCGAAACCTGGGCGCCCACCTTGCCACATCATGTTGCCCGCAAGAAGATCCCTTGCATCGATACTAAGACAGGCGAGGTCATAAAACCTGAGACGCCCAATGGGATCAAACTAGAACAGTTTGTATTTGACGTATTCCCATTGCTGCCGCTTGAAAAATTTGCATCGATTGAGGTCAAGCGGGAAGATGAATTTTCGCCGTTGAAAAACGCTCGGGGCAAAGGGGAGGATGATCCTGATACCAGCAAGAGAGATATCATGCGCCAGGGTGCGCGGTGGATTCAAACTGCTGGTGGCATTGTCGAGACTGAATCGGAAGAAGCATCCGGCGTTGAGGTTTCCCCTTTGATAAGCTACGTAAGCAAATACACCCTACATCCCTTTTTTCCCTTCTATTACACAGCTGTCCTGGACAAACGCTGACTATATTCATGCAGGGTGGAGAAGGTTTGGGCTTCCTGAAGGGTAAAACCATCAAGGCGCCAGCGGTAATTGAAAGCGAGGCTGCGGGGACTTGAACCCCACCCCGAAATTAAGCTCGGTAACAACAATCCTCGCTATGATATAATTTGTGAGAGTGGCATATTTCCATCAGTTTTCCATAAGTTTACCATTAGTCGGACGATTGGGAAGGATATCTGTTAGACATCCGGCGCGATTTTTTTTCCCCTAAAAAAATAGGCTGTCACAGGGGGTACTACACAAAGGGGATATGCTATATATTTATTCTAGCTACTAATAATTACCATCGCGCCCATGAAATATTTTCCAAGTAATAGTACATGTGCCCATCTCTGTGGTGATATAATAAAATGCTTGCACTAGCTCACTAGCTCCCATAGGCCTGGGCAAACGGGAAGATATTCACGCTAAACTCTTTTCGGCAAGGTCGGCAAGCTCCCATCAACAGATTTTCTCATTTCTGCTTCCCAGGCCTGACGACGGTCTTCTTGTCTCGAATCTGCAGGTCCATATCAAACAACCGTGTCTCTTTACACCCAGGAAGGATTTTTTTTCCCCGTGGCCTGGTGGGACCGGAGAGCAGAAGTGAGGGTTTAGATTGGTGTGCTGAGTTGTTAGTCCTTTCTTTTTCCTTTGTTCCTTTGCGAGATGCGAACGAACCCTGTCCTTGGGAATTTCTTCAAGAGTGCTCCCCTGCCGTGCATAGCTTGGGAAACGAGTATGTCATTGTGGTTCACCAGGCTAACAATATAGGATATTAAGTACGCCGGAACGGAGCCTCGAGTGACGTTTTTTTTCCTACTTTTCACAAGGAGCAAGAAATCATTTCGAACTGTGAGTCGCCTGTCGCCTGCACAAAAAAGCTGTAGTGTGTTTTCAAGACTTGCCCCCTTGCTTCTTCAATCTTTCCAAAGCTGCCAACTAGCATTCCCTCGAGTTCCCTTCCGCTTGCTTGCTGTTAGGCAGGCAGAAGGTTTACCAATCCGGCCCGAGAATATGCAGCCTGCGTTCTACCGGTTTTCCTTGCCCACTTATATAGCCTGCCTTGCGGTCCACCTTGCGGTCCAATTTACTTAAAGCTGCGCCCATATCCGATAAAAAGAATTTCAGACTGATAATTTGAATAACGGCCAGAGATCCTTAAAGATGTCGTCATCGCGCCGCGCATGCTACAAATGTGGCAATATTGGCCATTATGCCGGTTAGTTGAGAAATAGCTAGAGCAAAATCGATGGTTTGGTGAAGTTGAGAGCATTTGCTTATTGTAACGTATAGAGGTTTGCTCGTCCGCGGAGCGACTTTGCTATAACTGTAAGCTCTTTTCCCTTGCTATGCCATTTATCCTATCACCACTACTCCTCCTGGGGTCCTCTCCTATGTCTCAAAGACTAATCGATTTCTTCTCATAGGCAAACAACCCGGTAAGCCCCAACTTACGAACAATTGAATCGAAGTCGAAATTAGTCCTCATCTAACTAAACCGTCGGTTTAGGACATGAGTCGAATGGTTGCCCGCGACCTCGCACAACAGAGAGTAAGGCGAACCCGCTCTTGCCCCAGTTTGGAAGCTATATTAACAACCCGTTCTCTCGCTACAGCGAAACAATGTTATCACTGCCAGGGTCTAGGGCATGTGCAAGCTGACTGCCCCACTCTGCGCATCAACGGAGGAGCCACGAGCGGCCGCTGCTACAACTGCAATCTACCCGGCCACTTAGCAGTAAATGCCCTTTCTTTTTTTCGCCTACTACACTTTGTCCTCCTTGTACGCTTGAATCGGCCTTGCTGACACTATTGTATAGCGAAACTGCCTGTCTGCTGGTATGCAAGGTGCCATGAGAGGTGCACCAGCTGTCCGCGGCGGCTTCAATCCTCCCTTCCGTGGAGGATTCGTGGGGTATCCCAGAGCTGCTATGTGCTACAAATGTGGCGGCCCGAACCATTTTGCAAGGGATTGTCAGGCCCAAGCTATGAAATGCTACGCATGTGGAAAATTGGTGAGAGATCCCCCGCAAATCAACTGAGAAATGCCCAATGAAATAGATCGACTCCAAAAGATATGTTTATCACTATCTAACAGTATGCAGGGTCATATCTCTCGTGATTGCACTGCTCCTAACGGCGGACCGCTGAGTTCCGTAGGCAAAGTTTGCTACAAATGCTCCCAGGCTGGCCATATCTCTCGTGATTGCCCGAACAACGCCACTGAAGTCGTCGCTTCTACTCCCGCAGAACCTGCTGCCGAGGCTGGGGTAGCGGATAACGTTGCTCCCGTTGCTCCCGCGCCTACAGCGGCGGTTGCTTAAAGTCGATTTCTCTAAAACCCACCCGCATCCAACGAATCCATTAGGCTCATGTGACGGAACCCGTACCAACCACCACTATTCCTCTCTTTGTGTTCCCTTTGTATTTGGTCTAGCCGATTCGGTCCCCTATCGTTAAACTCGCTCCTGTTGTTTTTTTCATTTCTTTTTTTTTTTTCCTGGAAAGATTTTGCACATATTATGTCTCCCGTGTCAGATTCTCCAGACTGTGAAGTTGAGGTCTTTTATATATACTATATGCCAAGAAAAGAAGGTTTTCACGACAAAAAACCAAGGGAATTTCTACGATCTGGAATCCGGCAGCGGGCTTTATATGATAAACCCTCATGAAACGGCGTCAATTGGCTAACAAGGTTGGGGGACAAAAATTAGGGGGGATGTTGGGGAAGAGAAATTTTCAATCTACTTTCTCTCCTCCCCCCGGGAAATTATTGGAAGGAATTCAAAAAATTATTTCAGCAAGGCTAATGAAATGATGGACGAGAAAAAAAAATGTGGGACTTGGGTCTGTTTAATTATTTTCTATCAAGATTGTTTTGTGGGTTGTGGATTTATATAAATTGTCGGTAAACGGGAACCACCAACTCGCTTTTTTTGCGGTTTTTTTTTTTTTTTTTTTTTTTTTTTTTTGATCTTCAGTTTATTTTCTCCACCCACAAAACCAAAAAGGGTGGCTCTTGTCCCTCGTTCTATGGAATATGGCGCGGTCATTTATTCTTTTCTAACATTTTATACTGTGGGTTTATCCTTATTAAAACGTCTAATTTCTCCTCCTGCATCTTGCGCGGTTCTTCTTCCTCTCTCTTTTCCCTTCCGCGAATTAATCTGAAAACGGGCCCAGCTGGTACTTTGCCTTCGTAAAAGCATACAGCCGCCAAATTTCCAGTGGTTGACATCAACCACAAATGGGGGAGGGAGGAAAAAAAAAAAGAAAAAAAGAAAAAGAGCTCGTGTTGCATTGGACACTTTCATCAGTGCCTTGATAATTCTATGAATCAGCTTGAACTTTCTATTTCTCCGTATATATGCATGGAGACACAAAAAGAAACGATGTGAAATTGACAAGTGCCTTGTGTCAACCCGGCTGTCTTCCGGGAAATGCTCGTGACTCCCCAGGTCTGTCCCGGCGTGCCCCCTTTACGCGCTCCCCTTCTTCTTCCCTCCCTTGCTCCCATCTTCTCTTGAAGTACATCTAGAAGCCATCTATATATCTCCATCATTTTGCCGTTATATAGTAACTTTTCAAATCTCATTGCATTGTACGGGGCATATTTGCCCAAGTTATTTGAAATATTTCCCTCCCCCTTCCCCGTTCACCTTGTCCGTGGCTGTTAGTGGCTAGATAGTTAGCTGAGCTAGGAGGGAAAGTCATGCCTGCGTCAAATGCCAGTGATGAGTTTGATGATGTGAGAGAGGAACATTGACTCCTGGTGTTGTTCAGATGATGCTCTCGATGAGGCACTCAATTAAACCAAGGTCTAATCCGTTGTTTGACAGGATGTCTTCATCGTCGATATCGACGGCATCCAAGCTCACGGTTAGTTCTCTGCACTCCTGCCTCTCAATTCCAGCCATTTTCATTCCAGAACAGTAGAAACAGGTCAGCTAAAAGAGTCGCTCTGATCGTCGTTATGTGTAGGTGTTGGAGCTGCGGATATTACGAAACTGAAAGCAAACGGGTTTTATACTGTTGCTGTACGATAACTGGTCTTCAATCTCATTCACTGCCCTATCTTGCCTTTTGAGTTGATGATGCTATACCTCCTGCTACTGTCCTTTCACAGGGTATCAGGGGCATTTTGATAATTAGTCAATACTAACACTTAGCGCAATGGGTATCGAACGATTGGCGGGATATATTATAGTCTGTCCATGGAGCCACAAGAAAGACGTTGCTGAAAATCAAGGGCTTCAGTGAAGTCAAGGTAGAGAAAATCAAGGAGGCTATTCAGAAATGCCAGGTATGGGTATCCCCACTCCAAAGCTGTTCGTTCGTCTAGTGGTTGCTGGGCTGGTGGGAGCATAAGGGAAACCCTTTTTAAACTGACCTAAGCATGCAATGCAGCCCTCAGCGTCTGGATTCATAACTGCAATGGAGCTTGGCCACCAGAGAAAGCGGGTCGTAAGGATTTCCACCGGAAGCAAACAATTCGACTCTATCTTGGCCGGGTGCGTTTAGCAAATGTCCCTGAACGTTGATGGTTCTCGAGTAGACGTTGACTTATCCTCTGTGCAGTGGATTTCAGAGCATGAGTATCAGTGAAGTCTACGGCGAGTTTCGTTGCGGCAAAACGCAACTCTCGCACACGATGTCTGTCGTAGCCCAGCTTCCAAAGGACATGGGGGGCGCGGAAGGTAAAGTAGCCTATATCGATACCGAAGGCACATTCCGCCCTGAAAGAATTGCACAAATCGCGGAGCGGTTTGGTGTTGACCCGGATTCCGCGCTGGAAAACATTGCGTATGCAAGAGCACTGAATAGCGAACACCAGCTGGAGCTTCTGAACACGCTGGCGAAAGAGTTTGCGGGTGGTGAGTACCGCTTGCTGATCATTGACAGCATCATGAACTGTTTTCGCGTCGATTACTGTGGGCGCGGGGAACTGGCGGATCGACAGCAAAAGTTGAACCAGTTCCTAATGAAACTCGCGCACATGGCGGAAGGTGAGTATAGATGTGTCCATCCGCATATCCTGTGGACTGCTTGGCTCACAAGTTGCGTTCTAGAATTCAACGTTTGCGTTTTGATGGTAAGTTGTGCGGAGGCTGGAGAGAGTTAACTCCGCTTGATATCTATGCTTATCCCTCCCCACAGACAAATCAGGTACAAAGCGATCCTGGAGCAAGTGCCCTGTTCGCTGGTGCGGATGGACGCAAACCAGTTGGAGGGCATATCCTAGCACACGCTTCAACCACTCGAGTCTTGCTTCGGAAAGGCCGAGGTGATGAAAGAGTTGCAAAGATTCAGGATTCTCCAGGTAAATAACTTGCCTTAAAAAAAATCAAAAACCAGGTCGGGTCGTGATATGTTCAAGTTTGTTCACTGAACTTGTCTTTAGATTGTCCGGAGCGCGAGGCCATTTACGTGATCACGAATGGAGGTATCAATGATCCAGACAAGATATAGGTTCGATGTTGCAAACAATGGCCAACTTTATTTACAATCAAGTTCGCGGTCTCGCGTGCTGCGGAGATTTCATGTTTTAAAAATATTTATATATATATGCGTCTTTGCTATTGACAGGGGGTTTTCATTATAGTACTTGTACCAAGGGAAGGATTAGCGGCGGTGCCAAGCTTTTTTCCCGTGTAAAATATCCTCTGAAGTTAATTTCAACGATTGAGCTACTACTGGCGACTCTAAAAAATTATCTAGAATCGAAAGCACAAAAACACTAGACGGGACATATTGACAATTACAAAATGGCACCCAAACTGGTCTTTCCGCTGAGTATATCAGGCTACTCAGTTCTTCCCATAGATCTCCCACCAATGCCTTCATTTCAAAGCTCTGCGACGCACTACATCTACCTCCGTCCACACGAACCCCGAGTCCCCGACGCAGACTCCGCCCGCTCGCTTTTCGTTGTAAATGTTCCAGTAACCGCCACAGAAACGCATCTGCGACATTTGTTTGGCGCTCAATTATCCTCCGGTCGAGTTGAGCGGGTTGAATTCCACGACACGGCCGTCAAAAAACCACCAACCATCACCGTCACCCCCACCCCCGTCACCAACGCCAAGAAACGAAAACGCGATAGCACCGAAGAGTTACAAGTAGAGCTAGACACAATAGAGCTCCCACGAACATGGGATCGTGAGCTGCATCCCAGCGGCGCACACGCCGTTGTCATCTTCGTCGACCGTCCCAGCATGGAAGCCAGTCTCAAGGCGGCGAAAAGGGCGGCGAAAAATCGCACCAAGCTCGTCTGGGGCCAGGGCATAGATGACCGCCGGTTCCCCGCCCTAGGAATCCAGCGGTACAAAGCCCATAACAAACTACGATATCCCGCACGCGCTGAGCTGCTGCGCACCGTTAACAATTACATGAGTATATTTGGCAGGTTTGAGGAGGCGCGTGCGCGCGAGGCGGCGAAGGGCGCTGAGGTGCCTGATGACGATGGCTTTGTGACGGTTACGAGGGGGCCGAAGACTGATTCTGTAGCCAGGGAGGAGGAGATGAGGGCCCTGGCGGAGAAGCATAAGGAGAAGACTAAGGGGCTGGGGGACTTTTATCGGTTCCAGACGCGGGAGAAGAGGAAGGAGAGGCAGACGGAGTTGTTGCGGAAGTTTGAGGAGGATAAGAGGAAGGTGGAAGATATGAGGCGGAGGAGGGGGAAGGTTAGGGTACGTTATATTTTCTCTCTTTGATTCTCTTTTATTTACTCTGTTTCCCCTTTGATGTTCTTTTCTTTTTATGCGTGTGGATTTACGTGATGGGTGGCCCCTGGGATCTGGCCTTCTTTGATGTTTATCTACCTTTGATACGTGTGCTAATATTTTATACAGCCTGAGTAAGGTGACTGCTAGTGCGGTATTTCGAGAAATGATGATATAAATCTTTTCCTGCGGAATTTGACAGGTCTTGCCTTGGTTTAGGGGAGACAGCCAGCGCTATACACGACAGTATGGGGTGACATATTATCAGGCCTGGCCTACCTTCGTACGGGGTCGACCAATTTTACGACAGTTCGTGTGTTCTCAGACCAATGCACCTGCGTTGCAATCTAGCAAGATTATCGTCCTATAAAAGTAGCCCTTAGGATATTTTCTCTCAAAATACTTCCATCCACCTGGTCAAATTTGGACGTGTTTGCGAACGAACACCCATATGGATCCGCTACGGGACACGATGATATCCGAAAAATAACTTGCAGTGGTGGGTAATGAAGACATCCGATATGGTCTGCAACCCTCTGCCAGGTCCATGTTACAGTGATCACAACGGCACATTTCTTGTTTCTATTGTGATATGAGGCTGGGTATTAATGAACGCACGAGCTAAATTTTGACCACTCCTGTCCAATCTACATCTATTGCTCTTATTCTGCAGTTATTTTGACGCGATATCAGCTGACTCCTGCATAGACTGGCCGTGTGACCGTGTCTGGGACGAGGATCAATTACAGTTATTATTATATTATCCAAAACCATTACTTCTGATTACAGTTTGTATTTATTACATTGATCTCAAATCACTTTATTTCAAATATTAAAGATCTCAGATTCACTTTTCAAATAAAAATTTAGTCTCAGATTGATGGAGGAGTTCTTTTTGAGTAGTTGGTTGTATTATGAGAAGCTAGCTGCTACATGGCCTTTTATAGTAGAAGTGTAGGCTACTGGGGCAAAAGAGCTCAATCACCACCAGCGCACTGCTGGTAGAAGGGCCGATCAACCCGGGACCCCCAACACCCCCCCTCGGACCAGCTATCACAGAGTACAGTACTCCTCTCAGTGGCTCCTCTCAGTGACTCCTCCTAGTGGCTCCTCTCAGTGGACTCAGTCCTAGGGCTTGAGGGACTTCTAGGGCACACTCCTAGGATGTCTCTTGACACTGTTAAATGTCTGAGGTATTTATTTGGAATTTAAGTCCATTCTGAGATTGAACTCATGCATGTTGACCACAGCAGGGCTCACACTAAACAGTCTCATAATCTGTAGACTACTGGGACAAAAGAGCTCAATCACCACCAGCGCACTGCTGGTAGAAGGGCCGATCAACCCGGGACCCCCAACAAGTGTATACAGAAAACTTGACCTCGCTAAGTGCGCCACTTGACCTCGTTATGTAAGCTGACCTCGCAAATGTGGCCCGTGCCACTACCTGACCTCGCTCAATACATCTTTTCTTGTAATTTGAAACCACTCAATTATTTATCATCAATTCTACAATCAATTCAAAATCAATTTAAAATCAATTTAAAATCAATTTAATACTGAAATTATTCTTGAATTTAATAATAAAGTAAGTATTTATATAATTTACACTGAATTGATTATTAATTGATTTTCAATCAATTGTTAATTACTTAAATATATAGATTGAATTTATTTTTATTACTATAATTAATTAATAATCAATTCAAAATCAATTTAAAATCAATTTAAAATCAATTTAATACTGAAATTATTCTTGAATTTAATAATAAAGTAAGTATTTATATAATTTACACTGAATTGATTATTAATTGATTTTCAATCAATTGTTAATTACTTAAATATATAGATTGAATTTATTTTTATTACTATAATTAATTAATAATCAATTCAAAATCAATTCAAAATTAGTTTAAAATCAATTTAAAATCAATTATTAAATATTTTTATCTTAATATATTTTAAAATTCTGTAAAACATCTCTTTATATTCTATATGAATTTATCTATTTATTTAATTGATTATGAATCTGTGAAAGGTGTAAAGCTTGTGTGATTGAAAGATTGCTAGCTTTGTGAAAAGTTATATAATGAAGGGATTAGTAAGCCAGATCATGTGACCTGACATTCTCACGTATCAGAGTAACTATACACAATGCTATATATAAAATTCACCTTCAAATCAAGTACAGGTATAAAAAATGACTGGAAAATGTAAAGTAATGAAAAACCAGTCATGATATACATCATTTTTTATCCCTCTATCTCTCTATCTTCTTTATATTCAATTTTCAATGTGTATATTTCAATGTTTCAAGTGGTTTAGTAAGCTCATCTGCTGTGTTCTCAGCAGATGAAACATATTGAATAGATATCTCATTCTTGTGAACAAGATTCTGAAGAATATGAAAACAGACCTCTATATACTTCAAGTGGCATGGAATTGCTTCAGAAGAGAATAGCTCTATGACAGACTTATTATCAGCATGAATTATATAAGCCAGACTATTAACTGTGATGAAAATGAAGTGATCATCAGTATTCAGATTGTTGAGATGAGATGAGATGAATTCAGCATCTTCTAGAAGCTCTCAGAGACAGACAAGCTCATATACAGTCTCAGAGAATGCAATATATTCAGTCTCTGTTGATGACTTGAAGACCTCTGTTTACCAGCAGCTCTGTCATGCAACAGAATCACCTGTCATGTAGATGATATAACCAGTGATTGAACAGAATCCTGAATCTCTATCAGCTCAATCAGTATCTGTATATGCTACAGGTTCAATTTCAGCATCTCTGTGATAGGTTATACTCTCATTAATTAAACTCTGTAGATATTGAAGCATACACTTGTATGCAGCTCAGTTCTTTGATGTAGGCCAGAAGCTGAATTGTTCAAGAAATCCTGCAGCAAAGCTCATATCAGAACATGTATTAAATGCCAGATATTGCAGAGATTTGATACTGAATTGATAGAACTGTAGAATAAATTCTGCTGTGTATATAATCAGTTTCTCATCATTATTCATGAAATCAACATTCTTCTTCATAGAAGTGAATGTAGAATGACAGTTATTTATTAAGAACTTCTTCAGAAGATTTCTTATAAAGAGGAATTGAAACAATGTTAATGAAGTTGAATCTCTATCAATCTTCATTTCTAAATAGTGATTGAAATCCTCTACATTCTTGATCTCATAATTAGTGACAATTTCAGCTCTGACTTAGTTCAGATCTTCAATTTTCAGGCTGTAGAGACAGACATTATTCATGTAGATGATTATATAGATCTGTCTTTCATCATGAATAAATAATTCAGCATCATAGAAACTGACATAGAAGTCTGAGTGTAATAGCATCTTTCACAGCTTCTCATATCATAAGAGTACTGCTTGCTTAAGATTATAGAGTCTCTGTATCAACTCACACATAAGATTATCACAGTCTTCACAGAATTCTGTGAGTTGATTCATATATATCTGTTCATCAGCAGACAGTTGAGCATTTAAAAAAGCAGTTATTATATTAATCTGCAGAATATATCATCTCCAGAATGCTGAGATTATTATGAGAGCTTGTGAGATGAATGCAGAGATAATAGATGCACAGATTCTTGAGTAATTAACTCTCTTCTATTGAAGATTTTCACAGACAACTCAGCAGGTCTTATAGCAGATTACATCACTTATATTATTGAACTTTTTATCAAATACTCATTGACTGTGAAGAACACTCATTTATAATATTCTCTCAATCAGTTATCAGACTTCTATCTGTTTCAAACAGTTAATCTCTTTAATACAGATCTTATAATAATACTTTCATTTCATAGAAGCTTTGATGTGTGTGAGGTTTTTCAGAATTGAAAGTACAGTGATCTTGAAATTGATGAGTAGATCTTCAAGACTGTCTCTCACTGAAGCTTTCCTCACTGTAGTGATATCTCTTATAAATATCAGAGAATTATTCAATTCAACTGTGAATTCTGAGAAGTTCAGTGTATTCTGCACTAAAAAGATAGATATTCTCACAGAGATATCATAGTCAATTCATCAATTATTAGTGAGTATAAGAAATAATGAACACTCAGATTGAATTTTCTCATCAATGAACAGATCAGAAATTGCTGCAGTCTCTTGACAGGTCACAGTGAGTAGGTCTGATGTCACTGAAAAAATCACTGCAGTCACTTTACAGGCCGCATTGAGTAGAATCTTCAGGTTGTGTATTATCAGTATTGATGAATCAGCAAGATGAAGGTTCTTCTGAAAGATGATATCTTTTGATATGTATAAACACCTGTTGAAGAGGTTCATCAATCTATAATTAGTAAAATCATCATATTTCACAAAAATCAACTCTTTGAAATGAGAAGTCATCTTATTGATGAGCTTGAGAACTATCTTCAAGAATGCTTTGCAACCTCATCAGTGAATACTGTGTGCAGAAGATAGAGCTTCAAGCCAGGCCTTATACAGTGTAATCAGCTTTGTATTTTCAGAGTCTTCATACAATATTGTTGAGATTGATATAAGATTAAGCAGCTCTGTAACTGCAATAACTGCCTCATCTCATATCTTTTTCAGAGCTGAAGAGTCTATTAATAGTGATCAGAACTTCTCAATGATTAAACTGATTGATTGTTCAGATACTTTATCTTGCTGTGAAGTATAAGAGAGAGTCAGCTCTCATTTTATATCTTCACTGAGCATGTATGTCATGACTGCATTTGAATTCAATTCTTCACAATCTGAGTGAATGATTGCAATGTCACATCTCAGCAGATTCTTGATGAATTGATTGAAGATCTGTAGATATCTCAACATCTCATTCTTGCATTTCAATAGAAATATTCACCTCATATGAGTGACATCATCTGTTATCATCATTGCAAGCTTCTTGCCAGTGTAAGATGATATATTATTCTTGATTTCAAGAGTCTCATCATCACTGAATATATTCACTCAAATCTTCAAGGCCTTGCAGGTGACATGATGTGATGTGAAATTCTTGTAGAAAGTGTATTTCTGTTTAGTCTTAACACATGTAGCACAGAATGATAATTTCTTCAGATTAATAATAATAATATCAAATCACAGATCTCTGATCATTTTTAATATACTAATTTCACTGATATAATCAAGTCAATGATGTCACTCATCTATCAGAAGCTGTTTCAGAAGAACTGCAGATAATCAAGATAAAGATAAGATAATAAAGAAATCAGTATCTGAATTCTTAGAGTTGATTAACTGTTCAATCTTCTCATGACTGAAAGATCTCAAAGACTCAGTACTCAGATTGTAATCTATTGAGATTGTCTTTGATTTCAGAACAGTCACATATGTCACTGCTTTATACATTGAGTCATTCATTATCTCATGAAATGTCAGTGAGCTGTCAGATAGAATGTAAATATTATTATAAGACAGATTGATGTAGAAGATATCACTGTTAATAGATAACAGAAACTCAAAGTAGTTCTCAGCATTAACTTGCATATCACAGTGAATATAGCTCTGACATTTCATCAGCTCAGTGAAGATCAGATTTGCAGATAGTTCTGACATGTAGTATACATGATTGAATTCTATCAATCTTTCACTCACTGAGATGAATACAGTGCTGACACTCTGAACCTTTATAATGATCTTGTTAATCACTTAAACTGTTGAATCATTGATTGCTATAAGTTCTGAAAATTATGATCTATCACTTGCTATGTGGCATCTGATGCCACTATCTCATATAGTGAGAGAATTCTTGTGAGATTCTATAAAACAGACTGACACATTGATAACCTCTGCAAGGTTTGTCATCTGATAGGTCTCTGATTTATCTGTAATAAATAGTTAAGTTCTATTCTTACTATTGTTCTTTTTCTTCTTTTCCTTGAATTTCTTTATTCTTGCAGCATTGTTTATTCTTCAATTATTCAGAGTACTGTCTGAATTGATCAATCAACAGATGTTAAAGTGAGATCTCTCATATTCAGAACATGTAGGTGAATTTCCTGATCTCTGATGATTTTAGAAGCTCTCTTGTATACTGCTACAATCACATTCAGTATAGTCTTCACGGGCCAGATTCAATGTATTGTTATTAAAATTGATAGATGTAGTAATTATTGTATCTGTTGTAGCTGTTGTAGCTGTGTTAACCGCAGAATCTATATTCTGCAGATTCTTTTTATCTTTTGAAGAATCAAGCTGTGAACAGATTTCCTTCATGAGAAGATCAATATTCAATATCACAGCTGTGAATTTAAAATCCTGTATCTTCTCTATTTTCTTCTGCACATAATTCCTTCAATTGTTGAGTAGAACTGAGTAGAAGGTATTAAATATTCATACATCTGAGAGAGAAGTATTTAACATCTTCAATTTTGTAATAATGAACTGAAACTTATCAAAGAATGTGTGTAGATTGATAACCTGTATGTCATTAAGAGATATGAATTTCAGAACTGTCTCACAGTGTAACTGTGTTTTAGAGACAGAGTATTTCTGTTCAATTGCATTTCATAGAGTATAAGTAATTCAATTTTCATCATACTTGAAGAAACATGATCTGACACCTGCACTCAAGAAGTTCAAGATGAATGTGTAGAGTCATCAGTTTCTGATGTTTCAGAATGATACTCATTCATCATCTCTTTGTAAACAGTTCTGAGTCTGTTATTTCTCTATTATATATCAGCACTCTGCATCAATCAGTTTTAATTTCATGAAGATGCTTCATATAATGTAATTAAATGTATTAGTCAGACTGTTTAATCTCATAGTATTCTTGACATCTTTCTTGAATTGAGAGATTACCTTGTCAACACAGCTATTCAGTTTATAATGATTGAATTTCAATCTTTCACTGAGATTAGAATTTCATGTGACTGTACAGACTGTTAATGTAATGATAGAATAATTATTAATATTCTGTAATTGATCTGTAGAGAATGAGAATCTCTGTTGACAGAGTTTTTTCAGTTATAGTTCAAGTTCTAGAACTCTTTGCTTCTTCTTGTTCATCTCAAGTATTATCTTGAGATGCTTTATCTGTTAATCTGATATTGCCTCATCTGAACAGTAGACATCTGAGTGTTCAATATTCTTATCAAGAGAACCAGCTTCATCAAGCTGTTAAGTAGATCAGAGAGTCAGTCTGATCATGTCAGAAGCTGTATTCAAACCAGCTTCAAATTGAGAGAGTGTTACAGAGTGTTCTTCAATGAAGCTTTCAAAAACTTCAGAAGAATGTTCACTGACAGAGTATAAGTATGAAGAATTATCATCAACTTTAACTGATTCAGTGAAAAGAATACAAGATTGCAAACATATATATAAGTAAGATTGTGTTGAATCTGTCATCTTAGTATTTATTTATTGAATTCTTGCTAATATTGTTCTCTTTTTCTTGCTTTTTTTTTTTTTTTACAAATGTGATGCATTTTCTGCAAGCCTCTTTTTTAAGTGAGCAGTAGTATTATTAATTATCAAGATCTCAAATGCATTAATACTGATAGAATAACACAATTTTAACTTCTGATGAGTGTATCAAATGAAGCAGTAGTTTAAATAATGAGTATATTAACAAGAAATTCTGAATTGACAGTGATTTTATACAAAATGAGTCTCATAACCTGTGAAAGGTGTAAAGCTTGTGTGATTGAAAGATTGCTAGCTTTGTGAAAAGTTATATGATGAAGGGATTAGTAAGCCAGATCACGTGACCTGACAGAATCAGTTATACATGCTTTTTAATTGATTAATGAGCTGAATGAATGAATAAATAAGTGAATTGAAAGATTGAAAGTCAATTACCAACTGATTATTACTGTATTATGCGAGGTCAGAGTCATGATTATGTAATGAGGTCAAGTGACGCACTTAGCAAGGTCAAGTTTTCTGCTTCCTGTCTTAACAAGAAGACATGATGGTAGAATTCTCTTACATAAGCTCCGTGGCTTCTGTAGACTACTGGGGCAAAAGAGCTCGATCATCATCAGCGCCTACTGATAGAAGGGCCGATCAACCGCGGGATCTTCAACACTCTCTCTCAGACCAGCTATCACAGAGTACAGTACTTTTTCTCAGTGACTCTCTTCAGTGATCTTCTCACAATGACTTCTTTTTAATAATGAACTGAATCACTCAGTTCTAGAACTTATGAGACTTCTAAAGCATACTTCTGAAATGTCTCTTGACACTGTTAAAATGTTCAGAGTATTTGTTAGGAATTTTTAAGTTCATTCTGAGATCAAACTCATGCATGTTGATCACAGCAGAGCTCACACTTAACAGTCTCATAATCTGTAGACTACTGAGGCAAAAGAGCTCGATCATCACTAGCGCCTGCTGATAGAAGAGCTGACCAACCGCGGGACTCTCAACAGGTCCGTAGGTTCCTAGTGTTGGTGATTACTACACCTACTCTAGTCACGTGCCACCTCAACCTATTCATTTAGGTAACTCGCGTAGTTAGATTACAACACAACAACGTTATCCTTCAATATCTAGTGTTGAGCATGTATACAGAAAACTTTGTTGGAGCTACTACACAAGCCCTAACCCACGTGACCCACACACATATATTTAGCTTTCACTAGCTACTAGTTAGATAACAATAACAACCAACCAACGTTCAACCTCTCTCACAGGTTATGAAGCCCTTGCACTTCTACGAAGCGTTATAACCATGCAATAATCATACAATAAGCTTTTCAAATAGCTGCTTTTTTCATTCAAATACCCCATATCAAATGCCTGTCAATACGAGATCAATCAACCGCGAAGAGATCCCAGAGAATCAGATAGCTGGATCCTTTTCAACATCAATAACCGCGCGAAGACAACAAGAATAATCAAGCCCAAGATAATCCTCCAGAACGCGAAGATATGACAGACTGCAATGAAGCCGCCATTCTGAGACAGCATATTGCTCAGTTGAATGACAAGAACACCAAAAATCCTGATAATGATGCCCAATAACAATGCCAATAACAATACCAATATCAAAAATACTGTGGATCCGGAGGTCAGATTTCACAAAACCATAATCATAATCAAAACCATAACCCCGTGGTATCAACGATATCATGGATATAACCATAACCCGTGGTGTCAATGATGTCACGGACATAATCATAACCATAACCGCCAATATCGACGCCAAAACGATGGATATACCGATAACGATGCCAGGCCACAGTGCCTACGATGCCAGGCCCCAGTGCCTATATGATGCCAGGCCACAGTGCCTACGATGCCAGGCCCCAGTGCCTATATGATGCCAGGCCACAGTGCCTACGATGCCAGGCCACAGTGCCTACGATGCCAGGCCCCAGTGCCTATATGATGCCAGGCCACAGTGCCTATATGATGCCAGGCCACAGTGCCTACGATGCCAGGCCCCAGTGCCTATATGATGCCGGGCCACCGATTGCCCATATGATGACCTATGCCGATGACCTATGCCTATGCCTATGACGATGAAAACCACAAAAATAATAAGAATGAGATCCCGCGGCGTTAGAACAACTGGGGGTAATACCAATACTGAAAGGACGGATTTGGGCGTTCTTCTTGCATGTTTTTTATGTTTTTTCATGTATGGAGCTAGTCATTATGAGGAAACTAGACTCTACTTTTTGTAATTAATTTTTATTGCAGATTTGAATGATTTGGGCGCTTTTGACTGCGTGGGTTAACTGGCCTGCGTAGCATGGGGGGGTGTTGGAGCTACTACACAAGCCCTAACCCACGTGACCCACACACATATATTTAGCTTTCACTAGCTACTAGTTAGATAACAATAACAACCAACCAACGTTCAACCTCTCTCACAAACTTGACCTCACTAAGTGCGTCACTTGATCTTATTATGTAAGCTAATCTTGTAAATGTGGCTTATGCTCTTGGAGGATAACGTTGTTGTGTTGTAATCTAACTACGCGAGTTACACTAAATGAATAGGTTGGGGTGGCACGTGACTAGGGTAGGTGTAGTAATCACCAACACCCCCCCTTGCTACACCGTGGCCTATAAGCCGCCACCCGGGGCCTCCCCCATCCTCAAATCTTTTGAAAATGCAATAATAATTAATTACATCAATCAGACCCTGATTTCCTTATTAGGAAAGGCGTCTGTACAGTAATAACTGTAAAAATCAAGAAATACATGCAAAATCCATTGATCCGCTGTATCATCATTACCATTCAATCATTCCTTTCTGATCTCTTTCAAACCAATCCTTTTGACAAAATCTTCAAACGCAGGCTTCGCCAGTGGCTTGGTGAGCCCATCAGCTATGTTCACTGTAGAACCAACATGTTCCATCATGATTTCCCCTTTTTCAATCAAATCACAGAGAATATGATATCTAATCTCAATGTGATGTGACCTTCATATTAAGGATTCCCCCTTTGCTAGATCAATTGCTCCCTTATTGTCAACTCATAGATGCGAGCATATTTTCACTTTTCCATTATTCATCAACTCAGCATCATATAACATATCATTCAATCAGATTATCTCACAAGCTGTCTCACTAGCTGCAATATATTCAGCTTCTATGATTGATTTGATAATAGATGTCTGTCTCTGCAACTGTTATGAGATCAGTGACCTGTTAATCAATATAACATAGTCAGTAGTCAATTTGTATTGAGAATCTGCTCTCACCCAGTTCAAATCACAGTATGTCACAGAACTCAGGCCTACATCACTGATCTTCTTTCTGTATAATATATCATGGTTTTTCATCTTCTTGACATAACATAGAACATGCTTCAACACTGCTCAACATGCTTTGTATGAATGTGAGTTAAAACATGAGAGATAGTTGACTGCAAATGCCAGGTCTGACCAGCTGCTTGAGATCAAATATTGCAATGATCTCAATTCTTGACAATATCTCATAGCTGTAAAGTCATCATCCAATCCTCCCCCCTCATCAGGTGAGAATTCCAGTCATATGCTGGCCATTATCAGAGTGCCAGCTGAATTCATCTTATTCATGCTGAAATCTTCAAGAATCTCCTCAATATAATGACTCTGTGTAACCACTAGATCATCATTTCTCTGATGTTTAACCTTCATCTCAAGATATGACTTAGTCTCTTCAACATTCTTTATCTCAAATCTCTTTGCAATCTCTCTCAATACTCAGTCTAATTACTGTTCTTGAGATCTCATTATCTGACAATCATCAACATGCAATGTCAGATAGATCTTGCAGACAGAGTGATATAGAAATTCATCATTATAAGATGATATCTTGAATTCTAATATGATGAGGTGTTCTGTTGCTAGGAAATACCATACTCTTGCAGCTTGCTTCATTTCATATAGACTCTGGCAGAGTAGTCTCATCAAGCCCCCTCTGCTGTGCTTAACACCTGTGAGCAGTTGTATATAGATCATCTCATTCTGTGATAGTATGTCATTCAAAAACACAGATACATAGTCAATCAATTTAATCTTTCATTCTTTGACAGTTAATATAGTGAATAGGCTGTGTGATATAGGCCCTGATACCACTGCAGCATACAATCTCATATAATGAATACTCTGCTGTTGCAAGAACTCTCTAATCACTCAGTGAGCTCTAAAGTGAATGATTTCTCTCTTATTATTGAATTTCTGATTATATACTCATTTATCTGTAAGAATATTCATTTCCAGAGTCTTCTCAATAACAATATATATCTTCTTCTGTTCAAATATTTTAATCTTCTTTTTCATTGCTTCATGTCAATAGTCTCAGTCTGAGCTTCTCTTGACTTTCACCAGCATAGTTGATTGATCTGTCAGAATACTTAGAACAGAATCATTCTTATTAATGAGGTCTTCAGACTCTTCATTCATGACAAGCTGTGTCTCATTATCTAGAAGATAGATTGAATCAATTGCATTCTCTAAGTCTTCATTGACAATCATCTTTAAAACATCTGGCTTTTTCTTCACTAGGTGTTGTAGTAAGCAGTGCTGTCATCCTTCTCTGGCATTCAGAATGTTCAATTTATTAGACAATTCATTGAATTCCCTCACTGTATTTACAGGTGTATTTGCATCCATGTCAAGAGCTTCATCAAATATGACATCTCATGCAATCTCAAGACAACATGCAACAGAATCCCACACATGATATTGATGTAATTCTTGATATTCAACCAGCTGTCATTTCCTGCCATCAGTTCTATCTGTGAGCTTATTTGACACTTTCAAATCCTTCTTGTAGACCTTGCACCCTCATCTTCATATTCAATGAACAGAAGGTTGCACCTCAGTCCACACTTTAAAAGGTGTAAGTGATGTTTCTTTCTTACATTCAAATATCTTCATTGATGTTGAGAATGTGTTGATCATCATGATCACAGCTTGCATTGCTTCATCTCAAAGTTCTCTTTCTAATTCACTATCAAATAGTAGGCTTTGCATCTTTTCTGCAACTATTCAATTCACATGTTTCACTGAGTCATTCAATTGTGATGTGTCAGGTGTAGTTATTTCATATGCTATTTCTTTGCTCTGACAGTAGGTCTTAAGTTCTTGACTTTTGAACTCTTCTTCATCATCCCAGTGTAGGGTTTCAACTCAATATTGTGTAGTTGTCTCAATACCTGTGATGAAGTTCATTAATCTTGCAGTAGATTCTCTCTTTCTCATCATAAGAATTACTCATCTATAACGGGTTGCATCATCTGTTATACTCAATCAGTAGCTTGCACCCTCTCTAGTGAGAGTGTCATTCTCATTGAAAAGTGTTTTTCCACCCCCTGCCAGATCAATGAAGAATCTCATTACCAGCTTGACAGCTTGTGTCATAGATACAAAGGTTGAACATGTCATTTTTGCCTGTACACAGGTCTTGCAGAATGGCAAAGCTCTGTCACTCTTTATTCTCATTTCTAGTCATGAATCTGCTGTCATTTTTGCAATATCTACAGGATTCAGATGTTCTAGCTTTTAATGTCATTGCATCATTGTAAGTTCTATAATCTTTGTATCATTTCTTTCAGATAGTGTCAATATTGTGTCATTATTCTTTATTCACAGTGTATTCACAGGTTCAAAATCATCATTGAGTATAGTAAATCAGATCAAGTCTCTGTATATAACTGACTTTTCTATCTCATAGATATCTCTATCATTCAATCTTACAGTAAATGAGAACATTCTATCAGGAGACATAAGCAATATGACATGATTATTTTCATATATCAGTTGTTTGAAGATATAACCTTGACATATGAGCTTACTCATGCTCATAAGATTCACTTTCAATTTTGAAATATAATGAACACTGCTTAGCAGCATATCTGCTTCTTTAACAGGTATCTTGATATTCTCTATAGTCATAGCTGAGACTATCATTCTGTCTGTCATTTTCAACATCACTTTCACCTTCTGAGGTTTTGCCATGACAAGATCCCTGTGGGGTGTGACATGGGCGCCCGATTCAGAGTCTAGAATCCAGGTATCTTTTCCTGTCTGGTCACTCGCATAGGCCTTTTCTTTGATGCAAAATACTTGCTTCATAACATTGTGAATAGGAGCAGCACCTGTATTCTCCGCATCCTTGTCTTTATCCTTGTTTCTATTGGTGTTGGAATTCGAATTTGAAGGACATTTCTCAGAGTATTTCTTTCAACAGTCAGTCTGAATATGATCAACCTTTTGATAATGATAGCAGGTCCTTGCATCATTACCTCTATGTTCAGATTTGAATTCAGTGTTCTTGTTCTTGTCATTGTCTTTCTCTTTGTCCTTGCCTTTCTTATGCTTATCTTGCGCGTTGTTGATAGAATTTCTAGACACATCAGTATTTACTTCATTCACAGCAGAGAGCTGTAAAAGAATATCACAGCACAGACTCATAAAATTGTTCTCTAAGAGTTGAGTATTATCTTTGTCAATTTGATTCATTTAATTCCTTATAAATGAGGCTCAACCTCTGTTGACTTCTGTAAGCAGTCTGTTAAAAAACACAACATCTGAGATCTCATATTCTAGACAGATATAATCAGTTCTTATAGCAATCAGACATTCAATGAAAGCTCTGTCAGATTCTTTGCTTTTAAAGATCATTTCAATAAGCTCTTCAAATAAATGAGTTCTGTATACAGCAGACCTCTCAGAAAAGTTATTCTCTATAATAGTTCATAGAGCATAAGCTGATAATTTGAACTCCTTGAGTATAGTGAAATGAGCCTTGGTCTGCAGAACAATTGCAGACCACATGTAATTATATAATCAAAGATTGTGTTCTTTTCAGAAATGTTGCATGTTCATAGTGACATTCTCATCAAGGCTATTATCTTCAAGAATATCATCAGTTTCAGACTGCTCTGCAGTCAAAAGAATTTCCTCTCTTCACATTGAGTAGTTAATGAATTCAGTGAGAACAATCAGTCTTTTGATGAGTCTTACTTGGCTTCTGAATTCTTCAAGAACTTTCATTATGACAGATGTCTTCTCTTTCTGTTAAAGGTATTCTGTCAGGTCTGCTCCCATCTCATCATCTGCAGAGTCACCCCTACTGATCTTCATCCGCTCAACCTCATGCTGAAGTCTTGCAATTTCTAGTCTCATGTGAGTCTCCTCACTCGCTGAGCTATTGTTGTTCCGGCCACTTGGGCCCCCCGCATTGCCTGACATCTCACTGATGATGCCTTCAACCGAGTCTTTGTATATGTTGGACTCATCAGACTGTTCTTCTGTGATGGTTTTGTCCGGCTCAAACGCCCCAGGAGCTGCCTTCTGATTTGTTATTGGTGTTAACAGTGATCTGTGATCTTGTGTTTGCTGCTCTGGTGTTTTCTCATTTTTCCATCTTGGAGGCATGTATTCTTTTGTTAAGTCAGGCGTCCCCCCGGATCTTAGATTAATCATGGGTTCAATCACTCAATAAATCATCTAGGCACGCTTGTAACGATGCGTGGAGATGTCAATTGCATGTTATTTTGCAGCTTTTCATTGCGTAGAGAGCTTCATAACCTCTTGGAGAATAACATTGTTGTGTTGTAATCTAACTACGCGAGTTACACTAAATGAATAGGTTGGGGTGGCACGTGACTAGAGTAGGTGTAGTAATCACCAACATATGCCACTATCTGATCTCACTTAATACATCTTTTCTTATAATTTGAAATCACTTAATTATTTATCATCAATTCTACAATCAATTCAAAATTAATTTAATACTGAAATTATTCTTGAATTTAGTAATAAAGTAAGTATTTATATAATTTACACTGAATTAATTATTAATTGATTTTCAATCAATTGTTAATTACTTAAATATATAGAATAAATTTATTTTTATTACTATAATTAATTAATAATTAATTCAGAATCAATTTAAAATCAATTTAAAATCAATTTAATACTGAAATTATTCTTGAATTTAATAATAATACTAAATTAATTATCAACTGATTTTCAATCAATTATTAATTATTTAAATATATAGATTAAGTTTATTTTTATTACTATAATTAATTCAGAATTAATTCAGAATTAATTTAAAATCAATTTAAAATTAATTATTAAATATTTTTATCTTGATATATTTTAAAATTCTGTAAAATATCTCTTTATATTCTATATGAATTTATCTGTTTATTTAATTGATTATGAATTAGCTATATATACTTTAATTAATTAATAAGCTAAATAAATAAGTGAATTGAAAGATTGAAAGTTAATTATTAACTGATTATTACTGTATTATATGAGATTAGAGTCATAATTATATAATAAGATTAAGTAATATACTTAGTAAGATTAAGTTTTCTACTTTGTAATATTAAGTGTTACGGTCTTTGCGGCTATTAGCCGTGGCAATCTCTCTAAATCACGTGATCAATCACTATATTAACTGTGATTCTTATCTCAGTAAGCTTAAATACTTCTTCAGATATTTATTGCTGTTTTAATACTGAATTGATAATTATATTATAAGCTAACCTTAAATAAGTAATAAGCTAACTTAAATAGTAAAATCAGATTATATAAGTGATAATATCTTATAAAGTATCTGAGAAGAAACAGTTTTTAATTATTATTATTATTATTATTATTCTTCAATTATAGATGTATGTAGTCAGAGACTATGACATCTACCTGAGAACTTTAGTTCTCAGAGTTTTTTCTATGTCTGTAAAGTTAACTATTATACATTCATCAATTTCAGATATGCAAAATCAGAAAATTCCAGCTCAGAATACAAAAACTGTTTACAAATTGCAGTGTTTTAACATCTTTTGATACTTTGAAATCATTTGACAATATCATGACAAAAGAAAAGAGAAAAAGAACACAGTCTCAAAGATAGACACATTAAATAAATAGATAGAAAGAAATTGAAAGAAAAAGATAAAGAAAAAGATAAAGTAAAGAGAGACTATAATAAAACAAATTATTAAAAGAGAGTGTATAGCTGTTTTAACAGACTATATCTGATTAATTTCCTTCTCTTCATACTCAGATAATTCTGAATTTAGTCATTTTCTTATAGCTGCTTGAGTTTCTGATAGAAAGTCTATTAAGTATTTAATTCCTGTCTCAGTTGAGAATAAGAATCTTATATTTAATTAATTTAGATTATACTTCTCTTTCAATCTGACTCTGAGACTATTGTATAATGCACAGTGCATTATAATATACTCAGAATTCTCATTTGTATTGCAGAATGAGCATTCTATTGAGTCAAATCTATCATCAAATCTTTGTATATAAGATTTGAAATAGTCATGTCCTAGTTTCAGCTGTATTATAGATGAGAATATTTTCTTTTTACATTTAATTAAACAAGATTTTCACTTGAGTTTTATTTCAAATCTTGAATAATGTATACTCTTCTTTTGTTTCTGCCAGCTTGCATTTCACTTGTCTAAATAAGATTCTTTTATTTTTCTCTTTATAAAAGACCAGGATACAATTTTTTGAATAGATCTACTTAATTCTGCACTCTTTTTTGCAGCTGAATCAGCTAATTCATTACCATGAATATTCATGTGAGCAGGAACTCAGTGCAGATGAATTATCAGCTTTGATATTCTTCTCTTTTGAATTTTTAAAACAGAGTTTAAGATCAGTTCAAGATTCATTTGATCATTATGAATCTGACTATTTCTAAGTCTTTTTAAAGCAGCTTGACTATCAGAGAATATTTATATCTCTTTCAAACAATTTCCTCTTTTATAAGATTTTATTTCAATGAGTTTGAAAGCTTTCACTATTGCAAATAGTTCAGTATCAAAGACTTCACATTCAGAGCCTAGATTTCAGAAATCTGAGATAAAATTAATATTATCTTCAGTATAAGCAATGCCTGCGCCTAATCTATTCAAGTTCTCATTTTTTGAGTCATCTGAATAAACCAGAATAGAGTCTTTTATATTGATTGTAGAAATTCTCTTCAAATACTGTTCATATTCTTTCTCTTTTGATAGTTCACTTATTTGTAAGTCTATAAGAGATTCAAGCTTTTCTCTCCAGAGAGATAACTTCTCATGATCAACTTTTTCAACATTTAAAGAAGAAAATTGATTTTTAATCAGAGAGCATAGTCTGTACAGTTGAGAAGACATTTTCTTTGAAGAATTATTTTCATTCCAATCAAGAAATCTATTCCAATCCAGTTCATTTCCAGAGTTAATTGGTGGAAATGAAGAAGAGACTCTTTCTCTGATTATATGATTTGAGCTCATCTTTACAACTCTCAGAGCATAGTTCATACAGGCCTTTTCAAATCTAATAGCAGGAGGAGGAATTGAAGCTTCAATTTCCATTGCTTTAATAGGAGATGATTTGAATGCTTTCAGAATTCTTCTCAAGGCTCTGTTTTGCAGACTTTGAAAGAGTTCAGTGAAATTCCCTTGATTATTCCATCAAACTTGAACTTCATAATCAGCTACTGATGTGATACAGGCTATATATAACTGTCTCATAGCCTGAAAGGATAGACCTCTCTCTGTATTTGATAGTCTGATTATGTTGTTCAATAGTCTTTCTGCCTTGACAGTTCTTTGTTGAATGTGATATTTAAAATTCAACTTGGAGTTTAACCATACTCCTAATCATTTGACATTTACACTGGGTTTAATCTCTCTATTTAAAAGAGTTAGAGATAGTTCTTTCTCATTGAGTCTAGAAAAGAAATGAATTAACTCAGTTTTATTCATATCAAATTGAATTTGATTGATATCTGCTCTAACAAAGATTTTCTTTGCAGCTTCTTCAATTACTTTCAAATTCTCTTTGATAGTTTTTGAGCTGTAGACTAGACCAATATCATCCACATAACTCGGAGATTGCACTATTCTCATATTTCTATTCTTGAATAGATATGCAGTGTATAGACTGGCCGCCGGGACCATGAATTTCACGTTTGGTCCCATTTGGTCTGGTCCCATACATTTCTTGGCGTGAATCCCGCTGGGACTGGCTATCAAAAAAACATGTAAAGTGACTATATATCAGATCTTAAAATGGAACCATGACTTGAAAAAAATGAGAAAGTGGTCCCATTTGGTCCCATTTAGTCCCATTCTTGGCATAAAGTTACTATTTTTAGACATTTTAAGGTTTTTTTTAGACTATTTTTAATTTTTTAAAAAGTAACGCTTTTTGGTAACGCTCAAATGAGATTTAAAGTCATTTAAAGCAATAAAAATAATTTAAAATGAGAAGTGGAAATCATGGTCCCATTTGGAAAATGTGACAAGAGTAGACAGTAAGTCCCACTGGGACAGTATGGGACCACTATATAATGTTAAAACCGTGTAATGGGATCAGTCAAATTGGTAATGGGACTATCAAAAAATCTGGTCCTGGTCCCAGACACGGTCACACGGTCAGTCTAGCAGTGTATATTGCAAATAAAATGAGTGAGATTGAAGATCCCTGTGGTACTCCTATTTTTATCTCAGTCTTGTCTTGTTTCATTCCATCAAAGAAGAGTTGTATAATTCTTTTAGACATAAAACAGTTAACTCATTTTATTAGAGAAAGTGGCAGTTTTAATATCTTCAATGTCTGAATTAACTTTGACTTTGAAACATGATCAAATGCTTTCTTTATATCAATAAAAACTGCAGTTGAGACCAGACCCTCATGCTTTGCTATTTGAATATTATGAACAACTGAGAGAACAGTGTCAATTGCAGAACACTGTTTTCTACCTCCCATTTGTTCACTGAATAAAAGAGAATCATCTATAGAGCTTATAAAAGATAGTTGAGTAGCTATTATCTTTTCTAAAACCTTTCCTAAACAGTTCAATAGAGATATTACTCTATATGACTTAGAAATTGAAGTTTTTCTATTAGGTTTTGCAAGAATCACTCCAGTGACTTCTCTCCAGCATTCAGGATGATATTCATTTTTCAAGAGATTGAAAAAGAGCTCAAAATATTCATTCTTTAAGTAGGAATATGTATTTTGAATAATCAAGTGATTAATTGAATCAGGACCTGCAGCAGTTTTAACAGAACTTGAGAAGATAGCTGACTCTAATTCATCTTATGTAAGATCAGGCCATTCCCAGTCATTTTCATCAATGTAGTTGAGAAGTGATATATTCTCTTCCTCTGAATCTGAATCTGAGTCTGATGAGTTCTGAAAGAGAATTCTCATGAAAGCTTGATATTTTTCCTCAAAAGAGTTTGCTGTATATGATTCATTCTGAAACTCATATTCTAAGGCTGAAAGTTTTGCTACACTTCTTGTTTTAGTATAGTTAAAAGCTTTAAAAATTTCCTTCCCTTGTACTTCTTCAAGAAATTTATTCCAGCAGTCTGTTTTAGCTCTTTTGATATCTGAAAAATATTCATTTCTGACAGCTTTGAACTCTTCATCAGATATTACATCATTTTTTCAATCTCTTCTAGCAGTAGCTAATTCTTTTCTTTTAGATGAGATATTCTCATTTCATCAAGGTTTTGAATACTCAGAAGATTTTCTTTTTGAAATATTATCTCTAACACTTGTTAGAATAATAGATGTAATAAGCTTCACTCTATTCTCAAGCATTTCATTTGAGATATCTTGACCAGAATTTCAATATAGCTCATTCTGTCTTTCAGATTTTAGCTGTTTTATGCTTTCTTCAACTGCTTTCCAATCAGCTTTTTCAAAGTTATACTGATTAGAGAGAAGAGGATTTTCACTCATTTGTTTTTCACTCAGTTCAATATCAAATTGAATAATCTCATGACCTGATTCTGATGTCTCATTTGAATTAATAAACCAGTTTACAAGTCTTCTTTTCATTAGATTTTGTGACATGAAGGTTAGATCTATAATAGACTTCTGTTTCATGCCTTTTCTAAAGAATGTTTGTTGATCAGACTTATTAACCAAATCTATTGAATGCTCAAAGGTTCATTCAATCAGATTATCAGCTCTCACTGCTCTCTTGCATTCTGAATTTCATCAGAGATGATGTGCATTGAAATCTCCTGCAATTATAGAGTTTCTTGATGGAGTTATGTTCAGAAATCCTCTATCAATTGTTCAGATATTGTTATTTTTCTTCAATGACTTTTCATTATAGATATTTATGAGCTGTATAGTATCAAACTCATTTTCTTTATCTATAATATCACTCACCAGAATATCAGGATCAGACATGATATCAAATCTTAGATTAAATTGATATCTTGATCTCTTTCTTTCATAGATCACTACTCTTGACTTTATCTCAGACTTTTGAGATAAAAAGCAGTAGTAGCTTGAATGAGAAATAACATATTTTTGCTCAGCATCAAAATTCGGCTCCTGAAGCAGTATAAAATCAACTTTTTGTTCAAATGCAATTTGAAGACAAGAATAAATACAATTTGAGTTTCTATTCACATTATTTTGAATAAATGTGATTTTTGAAGAGTTTTTAAACTTTTTTTGTTGTTTTTGTTGTATATTCATACTAAAAGAGAGTAGAGTAGAATCTAATCACTATCATCAGATAGTAGATTATAACTGTTCTGAAAAGTAGGAATCTCAACTGCTTGCATTATATCTAGTTTATCATCAGAGTCATTTCTCAATTCTCTAATCTTAACAGGAGTTTGAGGATTCAAGTTCTGTTTACATTTAGCTGAAGAGTTGAAGTTTGAAGACTTAGATAGTTGAGAGTTTCTTCTTTTTGAGCTTGCAGTTGTGAGTTTACTGGCTTGACTCTTCTCTTCAGTTCTAGATTGACTTTGAGCTTCATCTTTTCTCCAGTTCTTTTGAGTTCTAGGAGCAAACATACATTCTTTTGAGTTAGATGCATGTTTTTCTTTGCAATTAGAGCACTTAAGCAGAGTGTGTTGACAAATTTCACCTCTTTTTGAGCATGTTTCACATTTATGCTCACTAGTTTTGTGATCTCTGGCACAGAATGCACATTTTGAGTCTCTAAAACATGAGATTGCAAAGTGTCCATATCTTTGACAGTTTGAACACTGTGTTTGAGCTTTGAGATTCATCCTTGAGTCTTTGTATTCATGAACTCCTCATTTTCAAATCTGCTACTCTTACTTCAGAGATCTTTGACTGTTCAA